GGCCCTGCATGCTATATACATTGTATGATATGTCTACTTTGGTTTGTACACTTTGTGTCCACTTCACCTATCTTGTATATAACTATACCGCTATTTCAATTAAAATTGTGCCCGTGCAAAGCGGAAAATCGAATACGAGAGCGAAAGGCTGCTGGTTTAGCGCTTCCCAGCAGCCTTTCGCGCTCGTATTCGACTTCTCCGCTTTGCTCGGGGATTGAAATAGCTCTTAATTGAAATAGCTCTATACGGTGCAAGTGTCTAATATATGCAAAGTTTGCCCACCTTATGTTCGATAAGACATGTACCGTACACAAATTAAACAAAAATTAAAAACATCATACATATCCAAAGTAGATACTTGATCGTTTACAAACTATTACATTATAATACACAATATACACAAAGTATAGGTACTAAAAGAAGGCACAATTACATTCCACATACAAAGCAGGTGGGATATTGTAAAACATGAGTTCGAGTTAATCCCGAATTATATACAGTTCGTCTCGAGTTGATGTGAATTTTGAGTTTGACGTCGAGTTTATAGCCTATACTGGGCGCAATAATATCATTTATATTACCAATAAAATTAGGCGTAAATCTTTTTAATGTCATTCAACCTAGCTCATTCCTTAAATTAATCCATCATTTTTCGCAACTAATCCCCTAAAACCTAAACTGATCAAACGAGAATTAGAGTCGACGAGAGTTGATATAGGTTCTAGATTAGCAAAATAAATGTTTCATAAATGTTCCATGTAGAACACATGATAGTGTCGGGAAAGCATTGAGAATAGCTAACCAAGATCGCGTTGCTTCCAACACTCATGCACTCTCAATCACATTTACTTAACCCATAACTTTAACTTTAGCCCGCGTGCAGGCCCAAGGAACTGATGGTGGGCCTGCAAGCAAGGCCCAGTATTTTGTACTTTCCGCGTTCGCCCACAAACGCGGCATTCTGATTGGCTGTTTGCTGTTGGATCTATAATTAAGGCAGTGATTCATCACAAAGGCTCTCGATAAGCTTAAAATTCGAAAATTGATCACATTTTTCGATTATAAATGGTACAAGAACAGACTGTTTATTGTTTACTTGAAGCAAAAGATGTTTTTGCCGTTATTGCCAATGGGGATTGCTTGTCGTAAGGCGTTGGAATAGCAACATTACGACTGGACTATAGTAACCCTTACTTGAGTTTCATTAATTTTAAACAGACTTGATACGTTATATGTTCCTCAAGAAAATTATCTTTTGGTGATGTTGAGATGCAGTTGCATGTAAGCCTATTCGAAACACTTTGCGATTTACAACTGGCTTCGCCGAGAGAGCGAAACAGAAGACGGTATTAAATTGCCGTTTGAAACGAAACGATCTGGACTCTGAACGCTCTCTTCTTTTTTAGAGTTCTTTACCAAATGAAATAACTGAAATAAATTTCGTACTTTCCGCCGCCAACAAGAATTGCACACAAGATCTGATAAGTGAGACAATTTATTTATAACAATGGCGACAGCGAAGCACACATTATCAATGCTAATGTGGTCGCACCACTTCTCTCACGATTTGAAGTTTGAAACTGGATTCCTGTTGAAATTCGTCCTAATTTGACTGTTCCGGTTTTAGTTGAAAATGAGCAATTGCAAATTTGGCAATTACTGACTGTGTTGCTTGCATTTTTGGAGTTAAAACGCAGCCATTTATACATTGTTTGTGTTCTGAATAAGCAAAGAAAACCCCGCAACATTTTAGTGCGAGTTTGTTTGTTAATATTTAGGTGATGTCATTGGTTCTTTTTTGACAATTCACGCGCGAATGGGGCGTGCTATGAAAAGGGGCGTTTTACAAAATACCGGGCCTTGCTTGCAGGCCCGCCATCAGTTCCCTTGGGCCTGCATGCAGGCTACTTTAACTTATATCGTTTACCTCCTAACCACTAACCCCAATCTCGGCTTAAAGTCGGTTATAATTTGGTTTGAATACGAACTCATAAATTCTCTACTCCCCAACTTGTAGACAAATTGTACACAGAGTAAAGACATCGTTCAGAAACTATATGATAGCAATTAACATGGTACAACGTAGACACATGATAGACCAAATATAGATATATCGCACCTTAAGTGGCCACATCATACATATATGGAGAGTGCGCAGTGTGTGAACTTGACTGAGGGATGAAGTGAAACTTTGTACGTGCGCTGAATGGATAATGTGGTCTTTCTATTAACAGTTAATTCGTAGAGTTGCGTGCATGGTGGTGCGATTTGCCTAATTATATCTAACACATCCAGTGTACATATGTCGCACTCAAGGGATGTATAGCAACATATTGAATAATGCATAATTAGCTATTTGCCTGCTCCGTTGTTCATAGTGAAAAAATGTATTATATAACTGAAATTATAATTATCTGACTATAATGATATTTTTACAGCACTTCCGTTGTCAAGTCGTGGTAGTAAAGGAAACTAGTAAACATTTGGATTACAGCTTACAGCTTACAAGAACAGAAGGTGTACTTATTAGCGGTACGTTTTTATACTTTTTACATCTATAACCCAACAAAACTGAACACTAAGATGCGCAGCGAAATTCCTCAAATAAATTCTCATTGTATAATATCGGTCGCAGTGTCCCGTATATCTAAGCTTACTGAAAATTCGATTATAAAGTATAATAAACTGTATGAGATTCCCTACTATATCAATACTTACAGGTGAACATGCAACGTTATGTCACGGCGTGGTACATTGCATCATTATATCTTTCATTGCATGAATTTGGCATCAAAATAACCACAGTTTTATTGTATATTTAAAGTCCCAAAAGATTGGTTGCAATCCTTTTATAAGATTATACGACACCAAGCTATGAGTATTCGAAAACCTTAATTCCCAATTCAGACGTCACCCCATTCATGCGCCGAATTTTTAGATCTTTCTCATAATGACGTCATAGCGAATGAATACTTAATACGATGTGAATTAACAAATATATACAATCAAATTCAATCTCAGCAAACCAAATTTTATGTATTTGCAGAGCAAGATATCGCTAAAGTTTTTATACGCATTGTCGCGCGAATAACAATACAAAACGCCGAAAATACTTGCACGGAACTGAAGCGTGCGCCTGCATGTGTCTTTGGACAATATCACACAATTTTTGTTTGATGTTTTGCAATTCGACAAAGAGAAGAATTAGGCATGTTTCATACGTCGCGGCAAGACTGAATGAATATATATCAATACTCACGGCAAGACTCAATGAATTCGAGATTCAAGAATTTTGATATAATATTATTTTTATTTAAAGGTTCTAAGTCTATACTCTAGACCCCATCCGACCCCTAATTCTCCTTATACTTGCAGTTTTAAAGAAACGTGCGCTCAAAAAATAGTTATGTTTTGTACAGTAGATAACGTCACGTACAAATTTGTTCATTGCCACAGGCACATGCAAGTATAACCATAGCCGGCATAGACCATTCTTGTGCCCTTAGTCCGTACCTTATTGCCTTATTTTGAATTAACACGCTGAATTATATACATATCCAATTCTATTATTATTACAGATTAATTTATTTTAGTGGACCAAAGGCAAAGATCAAATATATGAGAACTCAATATGAAGATAGCTCCATATAAACACATCCTAATTTTATCCAGTGATTATTTGACAGAATAATTAGGATATTCAATATATAAATAAAACATATGCCACCATACAGCATAATATCACCAAAATATTTACAAATAAAGTAACCTTGAATTTGTAAACATTGCATTGCCAGTATATATAGGCGCCATATAACTAATGCATACATGTCAACAAACGGTATAATTGTCGTTAACAAATTGTTATACGATCTAAATAATTCACAAATATACCAACCAAGCAGTTATACATGTAATATTATTTCACATTTGTAACTTTATCACAAAGAAATTAAATTGATTAATATATACTGAATCGACTGGATAAATAAAACATTGCTAATATTTCGCTGTAATATATTCGATCACAATAAATCTACATATACGCACTTTGCATACAAGTTTTAAATATTAGAAATTTAATAGATTCAGTCTCACCTTGCAGGTATTAGCCTATATTTAGCAAAGCCAATATACGCGCAGGTCTATCTTTCTGCATGACGTTCGTATATGTTTTCTATTCCAACTGCCCTTGCTGTCTTCCTGACCACAATGTTGATTCAACAACAAAATCTCGCTCGTTGACAGTTTTTAAAAGCGCCAAAACATTTCAGTCACTAAACTTCGTACTAGAAGGCATGCCATGGTGAGAAGTTTCCGAACAATTCCCGATTTAACCATTTCCATAATATTGCGCAACAAAAACATGGCCACCGTGGCTCATGCACCGTGGCTCACATGATAAAATAACGGCCTGTGATTGGCTTGACACGTTCCACCGTGGCTCAAAGTGGCAAGAAGTTACTATATTTAGTAACATCAGAACCGCGAACCCTGGCTCAAAATCGCAGTCGCATTTACGAACATTTTACGAACTAAAAATAAGGAAAACGTGGGAAAATAGAAAAATAAAAGCACTTAAAAGCAGTAAAAACTCGATCAATTTTAGTTGCTCTGTCACAACAGTGCAAAAAGTATGACATGCAAAAAAAAGCTTTCCAGCGTGAAAAACTATCGTAAACAGTATTAAATTTTACCAATATAAACACTGATGCTATATTTATACTGAACAGTTGACTAACTTGATTGAATAGGCTACAATAAAGCATTTAGATCGTAAACAATACCTGTATTTATTCCAAATGATGGAACAAAGTTCACTTTTCAAACTACAGAAATATACGTTTTTTTCTAAAAAAAAACTTATTGAATGTTCATACTAATTCGTCAGGAAACACTTGGCCAGTATTATATAATCTTTTCTTGCACATATCTTGACAACTGATTGAAAACAATACAGGAATGAACAGGTAACAAGAAAACAAAAATTTGCTTCGAAAAAGACCAACAAGCCGTCCCAGATTAAAACCCGGAAGTGAACGCGAGGTGCATACGTCATTTTCACGTCCTCTTGACGTCAGCGTCTTGTTATCTAAAACCGTCTATTAAGGTGGCTCAATACACTTTTTAGCCAAATGAGCAAAAGTTGAATATTTTCTGTTTAAATGCTTCTACAGGGTTAAGTTTTACTTATAATTGTAACACATAGTAAGACGTGTCGCAAACAAGAAGAATTCTGATAAAAGTCGCGTTTCCATGACAACTATAACGAATAATGGTAGCACTAAATAGCCGAAAATATCGCAGTTTTTCGAGTTTTTTTCGAAAATGAGTTCGGTGACCCCAATTTTTTTTAAAATAAATCAGTTACGTTAGTGTCGAGAAACATTTCTGGGAAGTTTAAAAAAAATCTGTCGACTCAATTCTTTAGAATTAAATTTCGACTTTTTTGACAGTTTCTGTCGACAATTTTTTTTTATTTTTCCATCATGAAATCTTGAAGCATGTATCTACTCATGTACAAATTTTCAGGGTACCTTACCGAACTCGTTTTGGAAATAATCACGGTTTTATTCCGCGCGGCCAATTCGCGGCCAAAGTTTTTCACACTCTGCAAGATCAATGAATTGACATGCGCGTACACAATTTAGCGGGCGCAGATAAGAAGAAAACACGCTAAATTCACGCACATAGCAAGGTTGTGTTTCACTCAAGTTTTAATTAATTGAAAATATTTGAATTTCTATATTTTTTCCTAACTACTGGTGGAAATATTTGAAACGTTACATGACTGAAAGTATTTCACGACATTCGATGGAATCCTTTTGCTCTTCGTCACTCGTGGGTGATTTTTGTCCGATGGTGTACTTCGCGTGTCCTTCGGGTTGTATGGCGGCATGAACAGTATTCCAACGACTCCAGTTTCCCCAAATTTCTGCCACAAGTTGTGAAGATCGCTGTAGGAGAGTCCACTACCTGCAATTTTCAGAGCCATACCATGTGAGATGGGACTATGATCTTCGTTTGGACAGTGAAGGTTTCCAACGAAAGTTTGATAACGATCATGGCGAAAATCGATGAATTCCATATCAGATTTCATGGCACGAACTGAAGATATCTGGCTGCGATCCACTATTGTTTTTACATCAATGCTCATTTCTGGACTGAACAAGATTCTCTTTAGTGCAATCACGTCTTCTAAAGCATCGTGTGCATCGAAATCTTGATCGAATAGACATTTGTAAACACTGGCAAGATTTGCTTTACAGAATTGGCCGTTCGATTGCTTTAGTGGGGCATGTTGATTGGATATCAATGATCTTATAAGCGGCAAGCTTTCTCCAAAACAAATTTTCATGCTGTGCAGTTGTTCTTCGAAATTATTACCGGCATTGCGAAGAAGTGTAGGAACGTCGAATGTGGCAGCATTATGACCAACAAGGACAGTTACGAGGTTCTCATTTTCGACTGTATTTGTACAACAGGTAGGCCTAATTCAGTTTTGTTGATCTTGTAGGAATTTTATAAATGTTTGTAGTGCTATTTGAAGAGATACTGAATTTGCTGGTTTCAAATCTTTGCACAATGTTCTTTCCCATTTATGGTTTCTACTGTGAGATTATTGACTTTCGATGCATAATATCCAACAGAATTATTGGGCAGAATATATGAAGAGAAGGTGTCACCATTTTGACATATTGCCGATAGTTGACAGATCTCTGCCTGTTTGCCAGTGCATGTTGTTTCAATGTCAAATAATACAAACTGGTATGTTTTATCAGGATCATGACTTAGGTATTCTTTTGCTGGTCTTTCAGTGAAAGGTGGAACTAGTTTCATCAAGTTTTCATATAATTGCTTATTATTTGTTATGCCCATAACAATTTTATCAACATCAACATCTGTATTGTTGCCTGTAGTTGTAACTGTAGTTTCCTTTTCCAGATTTAGCCCAATACCTGTTTCATAAGTTTTTCCTTCTTTTGCCTCTTTCCTTGCAGTTTTTGAGATCCTCTCAGATTGCAGCTGATGTCTCCTGATCTTATACTCCTTTGAAGATTTTCTTTTTTTATCACATTGTTGTTTCTTGTCCATTGTAGACTTGTGGAAGCTGCAAGTGACACCTGGATCTATGCCAAGAGAATCTAGTGTTTTATCAACGTAACTAAATCCGATATTCTTTTGTGTAACTGCGCAAGCAACACGAAAGTCATTGCTCTCACTCCCACCATAATAACGGATTTTTGGATTTTTGCTTCCTATGGTACTATTCAAGGATTCACTTCTTTGCGAGTTAGCAAATGGTGTATGCTTTTGAGCTACTGTATCTGTGGCATATTCATCAAACAAACTGGTAAGTATGCTTTTCAATTCATTTCCCTGCAAGTCTCGATTGTACGGTAAATCTTTATGTCGGTATGTCAAGGGATCTTTTTTATAACCACACCACGATGAGCAGCAACCTTTGTGGTCTCCAAATGCATGTGGAACAATATTTTTTATTGCAGATTTTAAGTTGTTTACATCACGATTTTGTGCAACACTATATGTAAAACACTTCCCCAAATAGTTTATAACTTTTTGACTCAAGGCTGATGAATTTTCAAACTTGGAACGAAGTGAAATATTGTACAACCTTGATATAAGCGAACGTTTGGCATGGACAATATCTGACCACTTCTCGACTCCATATGGTACACTGGTTTAAGTGACAAAGTGTAGTGGTATCATCATCACCTACATAAATTGAAAATTTTACTTTTTCTTTGGGAGCCGAATTCCACAGTTCACATGCAACTGCTGGTTCCATGGCTTTGGATGAACCAACATGATTCTTTCTGCAGTCATGTCTCCTTGGCTGCTTGCCTTTTTTCTTTGCATGATCGCACACTCTACATGATTTGCACTTTGTTGCATATGCCAAAACATTACCTGTTCCTAATCCCATTGCTACTCCCTGTCCGGTCATTGAATTGTGTCCTTTACCCCGCTTCTGCCATCCCATATCATAAGATACTGGTATGCCAACCAAGCCGTTCTCATCTGCAACTTCCCCGTTTTCCTCAGCCATATCCTTTTCCCTTTCAATGTTTGTTTTGCAGCTTTTTTGTGCCAAGTCCTCGACAGCTTTTCCAACTTCTCGTTCTCATGACTTGAATGTCCTGTTGTTCATCGTTGGTACATTCATTGTTGCAAATAGGTTATTCAGGTGGGTATTACCAATACCAGCTTGAAGTGAACCAAGTACTGCTCTAGAATTAATGTTGAAGGTTAATCGTCCACGTTGTCCACTTCTGTGTTCAGAAGATGTTTTAACCTTGTTGATTTTGCCACATAGATTGCATTTGATATACAAGATGCTTGCAACAGCAACCATATCTTCCTTTATGATGTTGTTCAATGACAATGGGCCTGAAATAAGATAAGTATATTAAATTGTAATGTAACATAAATGTAACTCTAACCCAATTTTTCAACATATTATCTAGATGCTGGAATGCAATCAATAGCACATCAATATGGAATATCAAGAAAAATCCTGCAGCTGGGAGATTTAGGTTGATCAATGGAAGGAAAATTTTATTTTGGAAGTATACATCAGCTTAGTTTGATAAAAGCACAAACCTTTAGAACAATAACTGCAAGTCGAAAGACCCTTTTGCAATACTTGTACATCAACAATACGGCAACCAAGAGGAATGTCGGAGACATTTTCAACTTGGCTCTACAATTTTTGGAGAAATGGTTGATATTAATTTATTTGCTTTAACTAAAATCCTTGCCTTGCCCTTAGTTCAAAGTCTGTAATGTAAAAATATTGTCATTGTTGATTTCAAGCAAATGATATTACCTATAATTTATTAAACACTCACCTGTGTACTGCGTGTTGTTCTTTTTGATGGTGGGCATAAATCTTCATTTGCGTTTTCATCGAAGTTTAATCTTCGTTTTGCATTGCCAATAATGGCATTACTTTCGAGAAAGTTTTTTTTTTTTTTATTTCTTCTCGCAAACTTCCCACTAGCGTTTCTGTTTTGCAAAGTGTGTTCGTTGATGGAGTACGTGAAACTTCATTCGTGTCATCTGTCCCCGCTTGAATTTTTTTTAGCGAAAATACGGTGCAAAAAGCCGTAACTATAAATCCAGTTGCTTGCCAGAAATGTACGCGTTCGCCTCGATCATCGCTGTCGATTTTTGACGCTAGAACGTGCCTGCCGCTACGCTCGTTAATAAAATGACTGCAATTGAACGACTTTTTCCTCGTTAAATAATATTTCAACACTTCTGATGTATTGTTGAAACGGAAATTGCGGAAATTTGCGAAGAAACGATGCCAATTAAATGCCATGTTAGTTTATTTTTAAATTTTCCGGCAATTTTTAATTTTAGGCATTTAATCCACGCGCGGATTTTCCACTCCTCGTAATTCCCTCGCCCGATATTCGCACGCGTGATTTAGAAATAACTCGTGCCCATTCTCCGTTAAATTAAAAGTGTATTGAGCCACCTTAAGCTACTTAACTAAGCATTCCAGGAGCTTTTTCAATGGCTTGCCTATTTCCTAGTGGAAGGTTGTAACTTGCCTGGCCTAAGGTTTCAGTCAGTGTGAAATACCTGGGACCATGCATTGTACGAAATAATGACTCAATGTTTTTCCCCAGTAAAGTGACTTGTTTGAAATGCAGGACTTTGTAACCTTCAGTTAGTAGGACTAAGGTCCAACGAGTAATCTCCATATGGCACAATCTTGACCCTTTTATGAGTTATATGGAATAATTGCTCAACCTTTATTGAATCTTCTTAACAAGGATCCTATATATTTATATACAAGAAAACACGGTTTAGCAAAACAAAAAGCATTGACGTGCATTGTCATGGTGGCGACAAAAAAGCACGGTCAGCGACCTTCTTAAAGAAAGAAAACATGCAACACAATGAGGTTTAGTGTTAGTTGCACAGGAGGCCAAGCCAGAGTTCTATCATTTTTGAAGATATATTTCCTGAAGTACACAATATCAATGCAGAGTGATTTTCTCTTTGCTCTTACTCTTACTTTGCTCTTACTCTTACTTTGCTTACTTTGCTCTTACCATGAAGTACTATTGTAACGTTCTTCTCGACTTTTAAACTTTTAAACTTTTACCAGTTCAGCAAGTATACTATTGTAATGATAGATAATTTATGATATTTTTAACTTTTGACCACATGTAAATAGATTTGATATAATATTCTTCACTTTGTATAATACTAGTTCTATAGTACAGGTCCATTCTGAAAATCACTTCTGTGAGAATGCCTCCTGAATAAAGATTGTTATCATATGTAGCATAAAAGAGCAGAATACAAAACTGATGAATCACCACATTAGTGCTGTGCACCGGAGTTGCCGGAGCCGGAGTTCTGCCGGAGATCCGGTGGTTTTTCCAATGCCGGAGCCGAATTTTGTATGCCGGAGCCCGGAGCCGGAGTTACGTTTTCCCAGCTCCGGCAAAATGACAAGAAAACAATATGAAATGAGACAAATGTCAAACGATTGTTAGTTACTGCAAACTGCCAATTGCTGTTAATGAATTCATCATAGACTCAAACTGACACAGCCCACAGGAACAGCGTCGAAAAGCTGTAATACGATCGCAACTTACAAACGTCATGCTTTCATGAAGCTATCTGACTTAGCGCTACATACTGTAATCTGTATATTCATGCCTTGTAGATAACGAAGAAGTACAAAACAAATAAATATCAACCTTTTTGAAAATGACAGAGTACTTTGTTTGCGTGCGAACAATTGCACTGTGGAGTCTGAGAGTGTTAGCGTCATGCCTCGCGTCATGCCTCGTGTCAAAGATTTTTCGAGGCTGGTTTCGATATAGATATTTTCTGCGTGGTTAAGTGTTTTCACTGTTTTGTTTCCTGAGTTATGTTATCTGATAATTAGGAAGCGCGAAAAGGGTTATTCATAATAATATTAATAAATGTTCTCTGATCGTAAAACATTTATTTAATATTTTATGATGTGGCCGGAGCCGGAGCTCAGAGCTGTAATTCGGCCGGAGCCGCAGCCGGAGATGAAAAACCGGAGTTTGCACAGCACTACACCACATGGTTATATTTCATGGCTGAATATTTGCATTTTATTGCTTCACCAAGACAATGTTAGTAAGCCTAGGGTGAACCACTGAACCAGGTAGAGCTTTTTGCTATCCGGCCAGAATATCCAGTCGGATATGTTTGATATATAAGCTAGGTTTGAGCTTTCAATTCATTTAAGGTAAAACAATGGTTTCAATTGACTATAAAATGGCTCGATTGTTTATACTATTTTGACTCAAACACATGGATATTTACACTTCATTATGTTGTTTAACAATAGTCAATCTTTTTATTCTAACATTTACATGCTCTCCATTTCATGACTGAAAGTGTCTGACTGTCTGGCAGCAGACAAAGTAACATATGACCATACGACTCAGTTCCAGCTGGAACTTTCTTCCAGTTCCGGCCAGATCCAGTTCCAGCCGGAACTTAAAAAAATGGTTTCTGGTGCACCCCTACAGGTCTAACCTAGGAAGGCGCTTGATCATGTGTGGATGCCTATTAACTCATTAAGCTTCAATGCGTCCCAGTGCACCCTACTTTTTTTGCTTTTCTAATGCCAATGGGGAAGCTCTGCACTTTAAGGGGTTAACCAAAAAATCTGACAATGTCTCTAGTTATTATGCACCTATCAATGTTAACCCCCAGAGGGGGGGGGGGGGTGTTTGGGCATATGTGGGGTATTTGATTATCAATTCCATCCCCACCCTGGGGATTTTGATTAGCATTTTGGCCCCGAGTTGGGGCAATTTGAACCGAATGACTATATTAATATAGTATTTATTGCAATGTTACAGTAAGTTCAGATTGTCAACGAGGGATGTAATAACAATATACGAAGTATACTCTCGCTTAAGTAGATGCTTAGTGCCTTGAATGCACAGTAGCTGCACTATTGATCAAGTATCTTGGTTTTCATCCAAGCAAGGCCTGATACTAGTTTATATTAGTATATTTTTGTATGTCATATAGTGTCTTTAATAGTAAATAGTCAACATTAACATCACTATGATATCTATATTTACCTTTATAACTTGAGTCGTTGTTAAGCCAGTTTCTGCTACAGCGCTTTCGATCATTTCGCGATAATTTAGACCAACACCGACCATTCAACGGCAGTAAAACCTTTCCAAAATATCTCTCTGGTTGTCGCTTATTCTAGTTCTCTTTCCTATCTCCATTTCATTGCACAGAATCGCAAATAGACTAGAAAATCTGCTAGAAATGTTTTCAAATATACAGGGTGTATCAATAAAAACGCAACCTCGGAATTTCCTAAGAAATCACTTTGCAATTCTTAAGCATAAAAGATTTTAGACCCCTGGGAATTGAAATCGAATTGCTAATAGATCATATTACTGTTTTTGTGCATTAAATAAATGCATAAATTTTGATTTATGCACTCGCGTGTGCAGTAATTTTGACAGTTATGCTATTTTAAATTCCCATGTCGATTTCTTGGGAAATTCCGAGGTTGCGCTTTTTTTGATGCACCCTGTATATGGCAGCTCAAAGCTCGAGAAGAACGTGTGATAGAAAGACGATTGTGATTGGTTTATATATAATGATATGCGAAAGCGTCAGCGTCAGGTAGCGCAGGCGATGTCTGGCACGGGTAAAACCGAATATTCTCAATTGAGAACATATGGGTAATACCCGTTGAGGTGTATGCTAAACGAGTGGAAATTTAGTTAAGAACTATCTCCTTGTAAAGTGCACGATTTTCTGCTATTGGGAATTTAAAGCAGCTTCTTAAATAGTTTCTTTATGCATAAACTTTACTTCTGTCAATCATTTATGCGTGCATACTCGTGGGAACCAACAGAGTGCTAAGGCATTCAAATTCTAACAATTAAATCGTTATTGGTGATTTCAATAGTTTTCTTTTTTGGGGACACCCTGTATGTCATATATAAGTGATTATACAAGAAAGATAATACTCATGCCTAAATGCACCTCAGGGGTAATCTACTTAATACAGGGTGTATAAAAAAAACGCAACCTCGGAATTTCCCAAGAAATCGACATTGTTTAAAAGACAAAAGATTTTAAGCGCCTGGGAATTTAAAATAGCACAACTGTCAAAATTACTGCACACGCGTGTGCATAAAGCAAAATTTATGCATTTATTTAATGCACAACAACAGTAATATCATCTATTAGCTAGCAATTCGATTTCAATTCCCAGGGGCCTAAAATCTTTTATGCTTAAGAATCGCAAAGTGATTTCTTAGGAAATTCCGAGGTTGCGTTGATTTTGTTGATTCAATCAAAAACGTCTGCCAAAACTGGTTCAATTTTCATAAAATAACTTACTTTTTCAACAGCGAAATTTTTATTCAAATTCTTGGTTGATAAACTGTACATAACAGGAGACTATTATAAAGCTCTTCTGAAATAATATGTCTTTATAATAATAACCTAAACTGAATATTTACTTTAAATATTCATTAATTTAATATACTTCTTAATAAACGTCTTAAACTTAAAAAATTTTCAAATAAATGCAACGACATTTTTATACTTCTTAATAACTCGAATTTATTTAATTTAACAAACGTCACGAGTAGCGTATCAAACTCCAAAATGTAGCTTTTCATTCGACAGAAAAGTATACCGAACTACATAGAGAAAACAAGAATGTGCCTAATATTTAAGCTTTTGGCTTGGAAAGAAATCCTAATCCGTTCAAAAAGAATGGGAGACCCTTTGACTGTCCCGGGGAGAGGAAAATATATGGTATATATACGAACAAGTTGAAACACATAAAAATTATTAGTTGATACTTTTTTAAATCTGATCCAACTAATTTCATGCATGCGCTATCCTACGGCAACATGTATACGTGTTGAGTGTACCTAAGATATTTTGCGTTGGCATATATATTCTCACGAGTCTTGCTAATAATGAGGGAAAAATACACAAATATCATGCAATCTTTGTAGAGAAACAAGTAAGAAATAATGATGCAATTAATAAAATTATATATACCAAATTTAAGGGTGTTCAAATTCAAGTCCGTGTTCAAGTCCGGCGTTATCAGGAATTCAAAGCTAGCAATTTTGCGTCATTTTCGTGCTTTCAACCACGGGGGTTTCCAAACTGTGTCCTCTGTCACGAAGGACATATTACCACGTGGATTGTAACACTCGGCTGGAAGGTTAACTTGAATTGCGAAGTGATCATCTGCCTGAACAAGTATTCCAGAAACTGCGGCCACAAGTTTGATGAAGAACAACAACGCCAATAAAGATCGACAGATCATCTTGCCACTATTGATCAAGAGATTGTCTTCAGAGTCTGTCTCGTACCCGGCTGGAATACAGCGATACTTCGGTGGGCAATAACGGGGCTGAGGTAATCTCAATCGTAATTTATTGAAGTCGAAGGCCAAGGCTTCTGGCGACGTATAAGGAACCGTCTCCGTTTGTGTACTAGCTTGTTTTGTATCTGATCTCACCGGGATTGTTGGTCGAGGTGAGTTGTCGTTGTAGTTGTCGTTGACGCGACCGGTTGAGGGATGAAGATCACTGGAGCATACACAACATATGGTTCACCACAACCGTTCATCAGGCCGTTCCTCCACCAGTTGTTAGATAAGTACGATTTTATTTCTTTGTTTCTACGCGAGGTAAGGAATCGTTACATCAATTTTAAATAACTATATTCGTCTTCTTATAGCAGTTTTCAGGTGGTGTGTGCTCCGGAACCCAGGTCCCAAGGGAAGATGCGCGACTTTTCTCGCATTTGATATTTGCTTGTTGATGCGTGAACATCTCCTTCCTGTCTGATCTCCTACAGTGAGTACAGTTTGACACCTGCAGTTTTACGATAAGTTTGACCCAGATATTTATATTTAAAATGGGAATTTCCGGTTTACTACAATTTCCACCAGTAAAGCAAGTGACAGTAGAAGAACTGCTATCAAATTTTTCGAGAAAAACAGCCGCCGTTGATGTTAGTGGCTGGATACACAAGGCATTGTCAATCACGGCTTTTGGTGACTATGACAGGTAAATAATGTTTTGCATCTTTCGTTGTTGCATGCTGACTTGCTGAGGTACTTAAATTTATTTGCATATTTGCGTTGCTTATTTGCATATAGTTACACGAAGCATGTGTGGAGATATGTCTGTCTCCTTGAACGCAATGGGGTCATTCCTATTCTGGTGTTTGATGGGCAAAACTTCGAAGCAAAGTTGGAAGAAACTGATAAACGAGAGAGGTAAAATTCTATTTAACACAGTATTATTGATGTAATATTTTAATTATAAAGCACAAATGTTAAAATCTTGTTATTATCTTTTGTATTAAAATACTTTACTTATATATGGGTACACTACAGTATATAATCGATTATCAATGCATAAATATAAAATGTTATCGTTATTATAAAAATTTGAAAGTGGCAGTATATACCTTTTGAGATTATTTACATGTACTGTATTTATTACATTATTAATCAGCAGAAAATTATTCCATGAGTTCATAACTGGAATGAGATTTATGTATATATATCCACATCTATTTCATGTATAAGCATTATAAAATGCAGCCTAGTTATGATGAGTAAAATCATCTGAAGAGTGAAGTAACTTAGCACTTGGTGTATGTTAGACAAGTGCTGAGCAATCCAAATACAAATGTTGGGTGCAGGAATTACATGCCTACTACAAAACCAATAGACCCCTCGCCTTGACATGCAAAAGGTATAACCCTTTCACTCATGAACACAACATTTACTGTGTTTATATATATTACTCTGTCAAATGCCAGACAAATTTACTCATCAAGGGGAGAGACCCAGGAAATTAGGTTTAAAAATTAAGTCTACTCCGGGGGGTTCCCTATGTAGTAAAATCGTCTGGCATTAGACAGAGTAAACTAATAAAGTAGGGCGCATCAGGGCGCAATGTGACTCAATGGGTTAACATTATTTGCATGTTTGTCTGCCAAGGGCAAAAGCAATGGGTCTATTAATTAATACATATATTATAAATTGTTTGTAGGGAAAGACAAAAGAGGATAGAAAAGGTTGCAATTTTGGTGAAAGAAGGAAGAATGGACGATGCAAACACACTCAGATGTTCCACAGCTGTCTATGACAAGGAATTGCATAAAAGATTGATAATGGTATGTAAAAATGATATAATGCCCAATTACTTGTTATTTACATTACGAGCATGCATTAATGTTCCTGATTTAAGATTATTAGTAATTTACACACTATGCACTACTAATATTATATGTTATGACATTGTACTAATTACCTTACAAAATAATATTTTCTTGTGCAGAAATGCAGAGAAGAAAATGTGTTGTATTGTGTTGCTCCATATGAGGCAGACCCACAATTGGCATTCATGGTCGCTTCTGGTTTGGCTGATTTTGTCATAACAGAAGATTCAGACCTACTCGCTTATGGTTGCCCACACACAATATTTAAATTAAGGTTAACAGGGACATGTCAAAGTGTGCATCTTTCAAGAATTCTGGAATCTCTAGGGATTTCTAAAGAAGAATTCACAGATTTATGCATCCTGGCTGGTTGTGACTATTGTAAACTACCTGGTGTGGGTATTAATAAAGCCCATGCTATTTTAAATGCTGCTGCTAAAAAAGAAGGTGATTGTATTAATTATGTGGAACAAATGTTTGCAGAAAAGGTTGAAATTTATGCCTATAAAAAGAAATTTCTGGTTGCTAGAGATTGTTTTGCACATGCTATTGTGTTTGATGTTTGCTCACTTAAAGTCACCAGGCTGAATAAACATGAATCCAATCATATTTGTTGTAATGAATATGGAAGGTATCCTTTGGTACTACATGATGGGTATTTTTGCACCCACCATGCAACTGTATTTTATTTCCACCTAAAATTACCAGTAAAACATAAGGTTTAAGGTCTGGACATGTGTGGTTATATACCTGTGGATATAGTATTACATGTACCTGGTAAAAGGAAATATTCTTATATTGAATTGGTGCAATTACAAAACTGATACATAGTTAACCTATTGCAAATGAAGTTGTTCACCAAGTTTTTCATTGTGTAACTAATACTGAATTTTCCATAGAGCGCCACACCGGAATTGTGGGGCAGCAGGTTTGAGTTACAGTTGCATTTTCACTTAATTACTGCTCCCAGTTTGACTTTATTAAAAATTGTGTGAAATAAAGTTTCATTCAATTGCCACCTCAGGAAAATTAGCTATTAATTAAGATATTATGGATTTCTTTAGTATTTTCGTTAACTTTACATACAAGATCCCTGTCAGATGTCACAGCATGTCACATTGCAATTGGAAATATTTTTCCAAAAACATTTGAAGTTCTTGAAAGTATTCCACTTCCATTTAATGTATTATTATATTTATATCCCTGCAACATTATTCAAGTGTGTGAATACTTTATTATTTAGGTTGGTCGGGGAATTTTTTAACTTTGTTATTGTAACATTTGAAGGGGCCAATGTTGCATGGATTTTCGAAGAATCAACACATAGAGTCTGAAACAGCTGAAGTCATAAATGAACAATGTAAGTTCTATACGAATTATACACAGTGCAGTTTCTTTTAACTCCTTAAAAAGATGCAGCTAGGGTATTTCCTTGGATAAATAATACACAACCCTTACTACAGTATACTGAAATACAAGCAGTGGCATAGCCAGCCCAATATCCCTGGGGTGGCAATGCAAATTTTTGTCGTGTTCATTAGACAATGAAAGCAATCAACTTATGAAGAAATGAATGTTTGCTTAATGATTTGAAATTTGCTTTGCCACCCCAGAAATATTGGATTGGCTATGCCACTGACTTTATAAGAGAACCAAACAAAATTGATTATTATATTTAGTGTTGCTATTAAATTATTAGTCACTCCTGACCATGCAACAGTTAACTGCTAGTTGAAATACTATTCTTACATTTAGTTAACATTGACACACACTCTGACAACAAAGTTAACAGTTCTGATGGAAAACCAGCCAATGTCACTGATGGACAGCCAGACAATGTCACTGATGGACAGCCAAACAATGTCACTGATGGACAACCAGCCAATGTCACTGATGGACAGCCAGACAATGTCATTGATGGACGAGTCAGCATTCAAGGAGGAGCAGATGAAACCAGGAATGTAAACAACGATCCATCAGATGATCATGAACCGCCTGTGAAATACACCTTGCCATTCAAGGTTTTGGGCTCAGCGCACAACCTGAATTACCAAAAACATTTAGAGGCTGCATATAATCTATGGAATTCAGGAGAGACCAGTCTGGATGTTTTAATGTGCCCTGAAAAGAATAACAAGTTTGATCCAAAGGCCATTGCAGTTTCCTTGAAGTATAATTGCACTGGGTTTCACAGGGTAGGATATATTGCAAAAGAACTTACACGACATATTCATCCTTACCTAAATACAGATAATTTAATTGCAACAGTCAAAAGGATTAGCTTCAGAGTGGATTTCCTAATGGTCGGTTATTACCTAACAATCAACATTACAAAACAAGGAGAGTGGAGCCCTGATGCTGTCCGAGCTAGTAAAAGGGTTAGATAATAAATTGAATATCAAGTGACAAACCTATTTATTCCTTATTCAAACTGTGTGGGAGGCAGTATTTCTGGAGCTTTGTGGAATTTTGCTCGTACTGTTAATGACTTGTGTTGAGGCATGGATGCTCGATTAGAAGCAAATACTCCTGGATCAGCTCTTCTTGATATCCTAACATAATCTAAACGTTCAACATCACAGGATCCTGGTTGATCAAAATCTGGCAATGGAATGTCCCTATAACGAAGATGACAACCGGTCCAGTAATAAAATGGAAGCTCGGGATTCATTTTCTTTTCAAACTCGGCTAAGATTTTGGGATAGCTTTCGTAGAATTGCTTCATGACAAACTCCTGTCCAATCATCTCTCGGATAGTTGAAAACAGGCCCTCTAAATCATCTGATGTTCCACTTCTTGGGTTACCGTGCTTTATCCCTCTCGTTGTGTAATCCAATGCGCGTAGAATAAAGCCTTCAAGGTTTGCAACTAATGCAACAACTACCTCCCTTGTTAACCCCTGATACCTTTAATGGGTCTAAAAAGGATAAACAAAAATTTTGTATCAAAATATCCTCATATTATTGCATAAAAAATCAACGAAAATTTGCATGTACAATAAAGACTTCCCGAATTTGCTTGAATGCACACGAGACAATAATATGAAATCAAGGTGGGCAATGATATCAATTGTAAAATAGTAAGTTTTCATTGCCAGCCAGCAAATTCGGGAAATTTCTATTGTTGCATCTGCTTGACATATGTTAACCCATTGGTGGCTGAACCGGCCACATAACAGATTTTATCATGTCTATAAACGCCATAGTCGGTCAGACGATTTTACTTGTAAAGGGGACTCCTAGACACCTCACCTCCTGGCGGCAATCAGAGTTAAAAGAACTGTAGATATCACATTAGAAATCCCGGGGAGGAGGGGGGGGGGGGTTAAAATTCCCAAAAATTCCCCTAATGGCCCGCCCCTAAAGTAAATTCAGTCATTAATTCATGTTTCGATCATCATTCTGTATTTACCTGTTAATATCGAGTGTGGAGAAGTCAGGATTGTTGGAATGCCAAGGCATCCAATCTTCTAATAGCCATGATAGAACTCTTTTGCAGTTCAAAACTCTCTGCTGCATTGTAATTCCACGTCCATCAAATGCTTTGTGCCAGTCAAGTACCATTTGCACCAACTGCGCTTCTGCAACGTGGCCATGCCTTTCCATGTATTTCAAGACGCCTATAGAAAACATACGTTCGCAGTCAGGAATGCTCTGTTTGTTTTTTCCGGTTAGTGCTTCGTACGTCAGACCTGATTTTGGGTCATTTAAAGCATCAGCAAAAGCTTTCATGTTTATGCCTGGAATCGAACCACTTCTAAGACATTGTGTGAATCTTTTAAAAACATGACCATGATCCTCTCTATTAAGCATTGCCTCGCCCGTGACGCTGCTGATCTCGGGTTGATAAAGGTGACTTTCAAAGTCAACTCCTTCTGCTTTCAATGACTGCACAGATTGTTTGAAAACATAACTGGCAAACAACGATCTCAGACAATCAGCATATGTTTCACTTTTCCCTAAACAAATGTATACATTATCCGTTTTAGAATTAAATTTAACACACACATAATGCATATATACTGTATAAATACAATCATGTTCTTGCCTGGTGTCCATGGACACGGGTCATAATTCTTGGGATACATTCGTCTTCTCATAACATGAATCGCTTCATTAAATGGAATTTTCCGATTGGGGTCTCCATTTTCCATGAAATCATAAAGCCATGCAATATCTGATTGGGGTATGGCATCATGTGTTATTTCTGGTTTTCCTACAAAATACAACAAACACAATGAGTTTTAGTTTGATAAAATCATAATGAGTTTTCATAAAACTGTATCATACTGATGATCACTTCACAAATCACAATTTTGCAAGTAAATAGATCATTCCAGCTCTAGATCGACTAAACTAAAATACAGGTAAGAATCGAAGAACAAAACATCTTTTCAATAAAATGGAAAGAGCATCTTAAAATTATTATTACGCGCAGGAAATAATGTATAACCATTTTCGGCTCAAATATGGTTACAGTATTAATTCCCCTCGTGTAATACAAATTTAATCAAAGCTTGCGAATAACATATGGTTTTAATCTACTCATTTTACAACATTTTGCAACCAAACTTGGCAAATTTATTAAATTTCATTATTTTAATTAATATCACCCATTAAGCACCAGCACTCTCCTCTTGACAAGTAAAGTTGTCTGGCGTTAGACAGAGTGAAATAATAAAGTAGGGCGCATTGTGGCGCAATGCAACTCAATGGGTCAAATAGACACATGGGCAGATAGGCCAGTTAACCCATTAAGTGTCAGCGCTCTCCTCTTGACGAGTAAAATCGTCTGGCGTTAGACAGAATGAAATAATAAAGTAGGGCGCAATGCAACTCAATGGGTTAATTATTTAATATCTACCATGATAGTTCTTTCAAGCTTAACCTCATTGATTATGTGATACTGTGTACAGTAATAACCAAAGTCTGCTATTACACATGGATTAATGAAATAAAAAAAGAACACACCGTTTGACTCTGTTGGTTTGAAAAACTTGTCAAGATCAACAACTTTGGTTGAATGTGCAAGTTTCCTTGCATCCATGGCTATCTGGATAATGGACACAGCCCTGTGTCCCCCACGAGTTCTTAACGAGTTCCATTCCCCATCAGTAACAAACCCTATGATCAAAATGAACAACAATAAATGCGGAACGAGCCAGCATGCAACCTATGATCGCAGATGCAGATTATATATGTATGTATTATATACATATACATATACATATACATATATACATATGTACATATGTACATATACATATATATATACATATACATATACACATATACATATACATATATACATATACATATACACATATACATATACATATATATATATATATATATATATATATATATATATATATATATATATATATATATATATATATATATATATATATATTTAATCTTAAAAATGGTATATGTTGCTACTCATATATATATATATATATGGTGTTCAAAATGAAAAAAATTAAAAATAAAAAATTTAAAAAAATTTAATGTGCTGCTACTTAAGTTTCACGTATACCGATGTATACCGCTGCTACTTAAGTTTCACGTATACCGATATATATATATATAAACTTACCAACAACTATCATCCCCAATTCTTCCATTGCATCGACCAATTGATCTCTCAAATGTCGCATATCGTTATCCGTAACCGTGGTAACTGGTAAGACCCGAACTGGAATGGCATATGGTTTAAATTCCCTGTGTTCATCGGCTATCATAAACACCATTAAGTGACTAGTAGGTTCACGCTTTCGGAAGTACAGCTGCTTCAGGTAGTTGCATAGCTTGTCATGCAAATTATTCCAACTGCCGACAGTTGTAAGGTTTTGGTCTTCTTGCACCAAGCAGATCTTTGAAATCAACTCGCCATTCATCTTTACCAGCTCTGTGTAACCAGTGACATCCCAAGCAAGGGCCACAAGATTGTCCTGAGAAACGTTTCCCCTATCAAACTTCTTGTTGTATATCTCAGTTGCATTCTTTAAGCCCTTTTGTAGGAATAAAACATCGCATTCAAGGTCCTTCTTGACATCAAGCAGAGTTTTGAGGAAGTTGTCACTTCCAACTTGCAAATTCTTGACCCTCTTTTCCTTGGTCCTATATTCATCATGTATCTTTTTTACTTCACCGTCTCCTGTATCTTTATCTCCAGACCATTCACCACGCAACGACTCGCATAATCCTTTCCTCAAATCACATGCATCAGCCTTGATCCACCAACGGCCTTTGGGACTCCTCTCATGGGCGTCTTTCAAAAGCTTTTTTTGAATGATAGTGCTTCTTGAGAATCCTTTATTCTGAATCATTCTCTTCAGATGTCTGACACCAGCTCCAGCAATGTTGATCTAAGCCTATTAATAAATTAATCATAATCATTTTACTCACATTTCCATTATGGTTGTCACTGTCATAAAGATGTGGTCACAATCTCTTTAACAGCCAGATTATATTTTCATATAGGGTCAGTTGTTCAAATGTTGGATAGTGCAATCCACTGGATAGTGTTTTTTTGAAACCTTTATAAAACTAGGCAACAAACAGAGATATTTTGTTTTCCCACCAAAACAAAGTTGACAGTAATATCAAACCTACTTGTCTGTTATAATGATCAGTGGGAAGTTTTATGAAGGTTTCAAAAAATCACTATTCAGTGGATGGCGTTATTCACCTTCTGAACAACCAGCCCTTGATCCACTAAACCTAACTCACAACTATCTTTGCAACAAATTATAATATAGCATTTGTAAATTCTGAACGCTGATTGGCCAAGAGCCATGTTGATATAACTCAATGTCAACACGGAAACTTTGGAAAATTTCTTTATATAGTTATATCAACACTCATGGATTAAGGGAAAACTCAAAATTCTGTGAAAACACCCAGCCCTTCAGGCGTAGTGTTTTCTCACAATTTCTCGTTTTCCCAATTTCCACCTTTTTCGTGTTGAAACTGGGTACAAGTTATGTGCTTATACATAATTGGAAAGCTATCATTATTACCTTGTAGGGGCAATAAATGTGCTTGTTTAATTTTCTTCTATGTCCTGTTGGTCGAACTTTAAAATACTTCTCCACTTCTTCAGGCTTGTCTACTGCATATGCCAGCTCCTCATTTCGTTCAGCAACATTGCTACTCCACAACAATGACATATCAGTTTGGGTAACATCTGTTGTTAGTGCTACGTTACTAAGCCTCTCTGTTAGTGCACAAATGTCAGGATCACAAACCGTATCAGCTTCGCTTTCTTCCGCTTGAAGGTCTATTTCGCAATCTTCCAGAGCTAGTTGAATCAAGTCGACATTCCCAGAACTTTGATATTCTGATATAAAACCTGTCTCGTATGATGTATTCAAATTGTCAACAGGTACATTATCATTACCATCGGTTGCTGGCTCACAGTCACTGCCACTATCATCTTGATCATACTGCCATGCTGGACCTCGGTGCAGGCAAGCCCACTTGTGGCCAAACTGAGCATACATGGTGGTTTGCCACTCCAAGTAATCATTCTCCATCTTAATATTTGCTGTATGATCAGAAGCGAAAAACTGTAGATTATATGATATAAGCCCAAATGGCATTTGCTTAACACTCATCCTGGATTTGCCATTAATTTCCTCACCAAAGCATTTACTCATAGCAAGAAACAAGTTTTTCTTATTATTTTCTTTCAACAAATTCATCCCTTTAACAGCCAAAGGTAAGAATTCTTTGCTCATGTAATAGTAAAATTCAGTTCCATAGTGCTGAGTAATCCATATCTGTACAAGCTGATTTCTCATCTGCTCTTGCATTATCTTTGTGAGTTTGCATTTGAAGGCTGAGATAAGTTCTTGCATGATATCTCCTTGTGACTTATTTACATTTTCCCAACCATCATTTTGGGTTGAACATTCTGTTAAAAGTGAATTGCAATGAAAATAATCAATGTCATAAAAGTTCTCTGCATCAGTTACAGTTGAAAATTCTTTTGCCAAGTACTTTAGTGTTTTTGTTCGGATAGCTGCCCCTTAAAAGATATTAATAAATTAATATTTAGAAAATTATGGCCAAAAATATCTCTTGACGTAGTATACATGTCCACCTTCACAATGAGATTTAATACTGGAGATTGTGTTTGTAGATTTTTTGTTCATCGATTTGTTTGTAAGCAGGATATTAGTTTATTGAATATATCTCTCAGTTGTGTATCTAGTTTAATTGATATATGATGGATTTTGTTATGGTGACATCTTAAAGATTTTACAAAAAGAATATCAGTGTATTCGTTCAATTAATTACTCGCAAATGCACAAGATTAAAATCTAATTATTTGCAGTATTTAGTTTGAGTTTTCTTACACAATTTGCAACTTTAGCATATACTTCTCCCATTAAATTTACATTGTTAATATGGTCACCATGTTAATGCAGCCAAATTTTTTTTAGGCTGTTGGTGACCATATTAACAAGGTTACAATGTACTCTATAAACAATATACAAGGTACCTGTCCGCAATGGTTGCCCAGAGTACTGATGTACAGCTTTTGCACATTGTTTCCAGAATGCACCATCTCTTATTGCTGGCCAATGGTCATCTTCAAAACTTGGTTTGTATAAAGCAATATATTGTACAATTGCTTCCAATTCTTCATTTTTCCAATTTGCTGCTTTGACAGAATGAGCTACCAGTGTCTCTGTTGGCAATACATCTTCATTCTTGAATAAAGAACTTCTCCGAGGCAGAGGTTTATTCCCAGATTCTTCTTCAGTAACTCGACTGTATTTATGGTTTGATTTCCCTGGAGTGTCTCCTTTTGCTATATGAGCCCTCTTAACAATAGAGTCAGTTTTATCCTCCATACTGGCACCAGTGTTTATACATTCAGTTTATTATTCCACTGTGAGGGCCACCTAAAACCCAAAACATGAAGTACTATGTATTATTGATTAAATACATCAAAATGTGAAAAGGCAATTCGCGGGCTAACACGCTTTTAAAATGATCTATAATTATTGTTTCATATTTGGGACACACTGAACATTCTATAATGAATCAATATGACAAATTATATCAACTAATTGTGCAATTTCTGAAAAATAACACATATTCAGATCAGTTTTTCAAATAGAATCAGTGGAGTGCAATGGAGTGCCTTTAAATATTTATATAAATAAACTTATCGTCTGTAAAACAGACAAACATGACAAGCCATTTAGTATTACTACACATAAAAAAGAGCACAACAAAATTACCTCCGAGCGATGCCTTCCACCATATTCCACACCGTAGCATGTGTGAATTTTTGCGAATTAAGTCTCGTTGTCGTTGTTTGTTGACGAAATACTTATAACAAGGTTAGTACGAGTGCCTGCGGAGGAGGTAGGCCGCTAATAAAGTTAGTTAAACATCGAAAATTTGATTTTTCCACCAGGGTCGTTTTTCGGCATGTATTTCACAATTCCCTTGACCGCGCGATATAAACAATGAAATTGGAGGCCTGGGTCCCGGAGCACACACCACCTGAGCAGTTTTACTAAGGTTCACTTTGTCCGTGCTGTTTCGTTTTGAGTTTTCGTAGCTTTTCATCATTTATAAGCTTTACTTCGTCTACGTCCACTGGCTTCACTCGAGAGTCCACTGAGAATCTACTATCGCGTCTACCCTATAGTATACTCTATAGTCTACTTTCACTCTATAATCTATAGTCTACTTTCACTCGAGTCCACATTTTAGTATATCCTATATAGTCTACTCTATAGTCTCTACTTGATTTGAGCTGAGCTCCTCCTTTTATACGATCGTTTCTACGGTTGACTGTACACGTGAAAGGGTCAATGTTCATGAGACCTCCGGCAGCTGCTCTGTTTAAACAAATCTGCCCACAAGACAAACTATAGGAAACAGGTCAATCAAAACATGAAATTTCCACATACACAACTGCAGCTACTTTAACAAACTGTCACAGCCTAATGGAAGAAATAATGAATGTTTTCCGAAGAACCGAAATATTTACGTTACTTTGATTTGTGGCAAAATATCCATTATCTCTTCTCATTATGTTTAGAATAATATTTGCTTGCACGAACTTTTCAGCTGCTCTCAAGCAAATATCTTCTGTTATTTCTATTTTTACCTAAAATTTTATATATAAGTAATAATGTTTCGTAACTCAAGTGCAGAACTATTTAGTGTACTAGAACTTAAGCAACACATGAACTTTTAACAGCAAACTTTAAATTGTTACGTTTGATGAAATTTTGTACTTTGATCAATCAATTGACCTTTCACAAAGGACGGTATTCCGGCAGGACTGTAGTGAAGGCTTCTCTGTTGGAGGGGGGGGGGGAGGTAGTTTTTACTCAAAAAATGTTAGATTTACCTGAAATTTTACGACCTTGTATCATGCAAGAATACTGAATATTCCAAGCAATTATTTCCATTAAAGTACGGATTTGAATTCTTGTTTAGAACAGTATTGTCGCGGGAACAGAGCAATAACACCCAGCCCGCGGGAACAGAGCAATAATTCCCAGCGGGAACAGAGCAATAATTCCCAGCTCGAACACTCGGGTCTGTCGAGACGATGTCTCGCTTAGTTGGGACAGCTTGGATCCCATATAAACGCGGAAAATAATAACAAGCGCGGGGGTTTCACCTAAAGCGTGCAGCTCGCATTATATAAACAGTCCATGATAACTAACTGCCTCGGTTCTGAGCTTCTAAATTATAGTTGCTGTTATGAGTTAGTTTAGGACCTGTATACGAGTTTGTATGTGTTTCATTTAGGACAGGTAATCTCAATTGTTTTAGGGTAAAATAACCATGGCGGCCAACATGTCATATGTGCCAAAACCTGAATCCGGGACGAAAGTCCTGAAAATGACACCGCTCTGAAACGGCAATGTCGACATAGCTCTAACTTCCGAAAAGGAAAAGCGATAGTCTTTCTGAAGTGTTTATAGTGTTTAGAAGGGTTGCTTTTAGGGGTGGTCATTTGATTATTCCGAAAACATCCACATCATCCCTACACAGGAAATGTGAAGTTGAAAGCCCCCTTCCTATTTATAGTGTATTCTACTTTTATCAGGAGTAGATTCTTCCCCTCCAAACAGCAGAAAGTTCCTCCATGTATAGTTGGAGTATGGATTTTTCTGGAATGACTCAATGTTCAAACCATATTTCGATAACAGAGTGCAATATACAAAGAACAACAGCAAGAATATTCTCATTACCTAACTGTGGATCCTTCCTCTCTCTTGAGTCTTGAACAAATTGTTAACTTTCCCTCTCATTATCTTGACTTTCATGAAAATGATGAAATTGGTTACAGAGAAATATGATTAAACTAGTGGATAATTATTTGTGTGCCATTTAATAAGTACTATGTAAAGCCCCGTTTACACGAGCAAATTTTATTTGACAATTTTCATATGTCAAAGATATTTTGCTCGTGTAGATGATACATTTGTGACAAATTTATTGTGACAAATGCATTTGAACAAAAGCTAGCATGCTAGCTTTTGATCAAATGCATTTGTCATATTAAATTTGTCAAATAAAATTTGCTCGTGTAAACGGGGCTTAAAAGGAATTTTATCAGAGTAATCAGACTAGTACAACACGCAGTTTTATGGATGAAAAAAGCATCCACAATTTTGATAATAAATGCTGTTTTAGGGGTTGACGAATGTGTTATAATATTTAATGTAATACGATTGTTGTCTTTTATCTTGCAGGAATTATTGGTTATAGCTATCACAAACATGGGACAAGGCATTAAAAAGCAGAATAGCCAAAGGCGAAGTCATAATATTAAAACCATAATAACCTTTATTATCGGATGACAATCATAGATTGATTTTCTGGGGGGTGCAGGTGGTGTCCACCACCAAAAATATTTTCACCACCTCAGAAATTTTTTCCTCCCCACCTCAAGAATTCGTACCCACCCCAGAAATTCAAATGCTGTTTTGTTTAAATATTTAAATGACAGCAGTATATGATTGAACAAGAATTTTGAACTGAATAAGTCTAACAAGGCCAAAAATCTCAGAAATTCCAGAGGGTCTTTGCCTCTTACCCCATCTCTGACACTATAGTGACTGTACTCTCAGACACTGCTGCATCTTACTAGCTCAGCACACTACTTGCTCCTCGCTCACTTTCAACCCCTGAGTAAGTAAGTAACAAATGGCTTTATTAGCATGACTTCACATATAAGTATTGCTAAAGCTTATTAGTTAGTATAATTATCAATATTTACAAATGCAAAATGTTTTGTGGTAGTATGACACACTGTCAGTTAGTCAGTATCGCGTAATACAAGAAATAAAAATGAAGTTATTGATATAAAGAAAGACTAGTTTACAAATGAGTACTCTATTTACAGTATATATGTAATTGAAGAAGTTTGAGTTTTAGTTAGATAGCTTATTGAAGCAAATTTATTAAACGGCTTCAAAAACGACTACAAATTCAATAGACATATACTGCCTTATTAGTATTCTTTATATAAAGAACACTAATGAGGACACGAATACTGCCTTATTAGTATTCTTTGTATAAAGAATACTAATTATGAATGTTTTATCAGGTTTAAAGCCGCTGCACGTGACCTATTATGGTTGACATGATTTGCCAATAAGCTTATGAATTATTCATGAGTGTTTGAAGTATAGATGTTATTTTTGCAATGGCATATATATCAATGGTTTAATTAACAAGAGCAGACTCATTAGGCTGTCCTGGTAGTATTTCACATGTACATACTGTTTTCTAGATTTTGTGTAATATCAAGACTGTATATTCGAATAATATACATTAGCATTTTTACACAAGTGAATATAACAAATCCTACCAGTTCATTGGTCAAATTTGACGTATTAAGCGGTTTTATAATATAGCATTTGTAAGTTCCGAACGCTGAGTGGCTAAGAGCCGTGTTCATATAACTCAATAGTGAGCTTAAGCAAGTGACGTTTTTGACAACACGAACGGCATGAGTAACGTCAGAAGACTGGATCAAGGGCTGTGATTGGTGAAAAACGTCAACTTTACTTCCGGTCGACGTCCGTATTGTCAAAAACGTCACTTGCTTAAGCTCACTAATGTCAACACGGAAACGTCGGAAAATTTCTTTCTTTATGTTTCTTTGTGCTATATCATAACACAAATATAAAACCTTTTTCCGTATTGATATAGCCTACAGTTATATCAACACTCGTGGAAATTGGGAAAACTCGAAATTGTGTGAAGCGTTTGCTTCACGCTTAAAATTTTGTCACATGATGAGCGTGACCGGCGCGCCCGCATTTTTTTTGTTAATGAGCAACCATGATGAGTTATTTTAAAACACAGCGGATGGTTCTAAAAAAGCATGAATTATTTGCCAACCGAACGTGTCACTTGTATACGACCTGCTAAGTCATTGCAAAATATGCCAAGCTATTTCACTTGAACTATATGAATCAGCGCAATAATAGACGAATGAATACACAATCATTAGTGAATCGTTTCAATTTTAAACAAATTATTTCTGTTCTTGTCCAGTCATAGCACTACGTTATAGGTTCAAGCATTCCTAAACATGATGACTCGTTCGCGTTTGTAATGAATGATTTCTGTTAATGTCCATTCATTTCACACGTGTAGTATTTTTGGTGGTAAAGGCCGCCCATATAGAACTTAATTTTGTTGTTGTCAATGGACCATTTGCATTATAGACTAAATTTTGATCTAGACAAAAATTTCATCACAGCTTGAAAGAGCATCACAAAATTAGTAATATTCCAAAGTTTCGTTGCGAAATGTTGTAAAATGCGGATAATATAGCCTTGCGAAGTTTGCAATTTTCAGTCCG